TCATCATCATCATCTTCATCATCACCATCTTCATCATCATCACCATCTTCATCATCACCATCACCATGATCTTCATCATCATCATCACCATCATCATCATCTTCATCATCTTCATCATCATCATCATCATCTTCATCATCATCAAGCTTCTATTTTATATTATTTCCAATCATAAAACAAAGACAGGGATGTTGCATCAGAGAGTAAGGGACAGAGTAAGGGACAGAGACAGAGAGACAGAGCCTCTCTGGGGGACATGACGAGGACTAGTTAGTGGAGACGACAGCAGACTAAACTGTGAATGTAACTAACAGTGATGTAATACGCCTCCTCTCCCTCTAATCTGTGACACATAAGATTACAGATAATCTGAGTGTGTGACGTCAGACAGGAAACACTCACACCAGGAATCTGAGTCAGGAAGTTATGTGACCAAATCAATTATACTGGAAACTATTTTATAAAACCTTTTATAATCAGACATCCAAATATGAAGAAGTGGTTTCTTTATCGATATAATCTATCTTCTATGGTTTCTTCTTATTTTAAACCACCTACCATAACAACACAGCCGACTGTGACACATTATCCACCAGCTGCTGGACAGATGTTGTGTCCTCTTATTAACTGTGTCACGTACTGAATCATTGTTCACATGTTAATATGATCTGAGATGTTCACAGCAGAAAGTGTCCTGTGTTCTCTTCAGGACCTCGGCTGCTCCACAGACCCTCTCTGGTTTAAGAGGAGGATCAAGTGTCAACGCAAAGGTCTGAGACTTTCTACGTCTGGACACCCGACAGGAAGTCCACAGGAAGTCCACAGGAAGTCCACAGGAAGTCCACAGGAAGTCTGCAGAGGTGGACGTGTGAACACAGCTGGATCCACATGTAAACATGATCACATGTGGTTGAAAATACAAAGACCAGATACATGAGGTGGTCACACATACGAAGAGATACACACATCACACACACCTGAACACACCTGAACACACATCACACACACATCACACACCTGAACACAC